GAGTGAGTGAGTGAGTGAGTGAGTGAGTGAGTGAGTGAGTGAGTGAGTGAGTGAGATAACGAATGCTTTTCAGGAAGTCGAACAAAGTGATCAATGAAACTCAACCTGTTGACTGATTGTAAAAGAGCCAAAATAATTTTACATTATAATAGGTGTAAAAATGGAAAATATGATAATATGTTGTTCATGATACTGATCATGAAATCTGCTTGGCAACTGTCAAGTCTTAGTTGTGACAATGGGCAGCAGTCATGGGTTTCTGAAATCCCAGAAGTGTGTTATCGTTCAATTCAGGACTGAAAAACGTTCAGCATTATTTATCAGATTTCAATGTAGGTGTATTTATGCCGCAATCAACACAATTTAGATCATTGGGGTGGTAGGCCTCTGACCTTGTCTGTCAGGGATAACCTGGCAAAGAGGGGTACATCCAAGCTGAAAAACTCGAGAAAAAAAATGTCTCCCCTCTCAGGAATCGCACTTGGGTTTCTCGTGAGCGACAGCGAAGTGCCTAACCGTAACATCACAGACGGCGTTGCATTTATTTCATAGTCCCCTCAAATAAACGTTTGACATACAAAATTAATAGAATTGGACGTGTCGCCAGAGACGACATTGGAAGTGTTTTGTCTGTCTTGAGCATTTCAATAATTGTCTGTTATCGAAATTATTCTTTCAGTGCAATACAATGTTCACGCCATTCGTAAATTGCAACGGAAGTGCGAGGATGATAAAAACGAAAAAGAGATATTTTATCTGGAACGAAACTTGACAGCCAAATTATTTTCTTTGCAAATGTACTCCTCAAAGCCTGAAACTCGTTTTGCTGGTTTTCGTTATTGGTTTCTTATTTGTTTTTGTTTTTTGTTTTGTTTTGTTGTTTGTTTGTTTTTGTTTTTTTGTGTGTGTGTTTTTGTTTTGTTTAGTTTGTTTTGTCTTGTTTTTTGTTTGATTGTTTTTTTGCTTGTTTGTTGTTGTTGTTTTTTTTGCTGTTTTTTTTTTGTTTTGTTGTTGTTGTTGTTGTTGTTGTTTTTTTTGGGGGGTCGGATTTAAGACGAAGCAGAAGAAGACATGTGTCAGAACGGTCGATTCTGCTTTATTTTTTTTCTTTGCCAGATTTAAGTTGCATTCATTACTGTTTCATTTGGTAGGGTACGTACATACGGTGCCTTGGAGTATTCTTTTTTCTGTCTTTTCTGGGTCAAAAATGGATTTTGCGGGTTTTATCTTTTCAAGTCTTTTTCAGTCGTCAATTTTGCTATAATGTAAAAATTCACCAAAGTTCACTTAAAAGTAATAAATGAAGATTTGCATTTTTTCAATGAAGAAATTAGGGTTATAAACGGTTGGTCAATGATAGCTCTGTAGATGTATGTTCATCCGTGATCTATGTGATTCTCACAAGCGCTTATTCTGTATTTGAATTTGAATTTAAGAAACATGTGCTAAGTGTAATGCTCTCAGATTATTTGGTTTTTGGTTTTTGGAGTGTTGTTGTTGTTTTGTTTTTGTTGATGTTGTTTGTTTTGTTTGGGAGGGGGGTTTGGGGGGTTGTTTGTTTGTTTGTTTGTTTGTTTGTTTGTTTTGATGATTTGTTTTGTTTTTGTTTGTTGTTGTTTGTTTGTTTTCGAAATTGCTACCTTGCAGTTTGGAGCATTTTTGTGCACGAAATTTGGAAGAGGTAATCTTGATATGGCTGTGTTTGATTCCTTAAGTGTCTAGACGTAAGAAGACACTTCTAATGTATGGCCAATCCAAAAGACGTGAAGCTTAAGACTTTCTTCCTTATGTAAACATGCTGATGTGCCGAGTACAGACTAAGTCTGACCGCTAGAGTCCTGATCAACAACTGTGTTTTTGTTTTGTTTTTGTTTGTTTTTGTGTTTGTTTGTTTTTTACTTGTTGTTTTTGTTTGGTGTTTTGTTGTTGTTGTTGTTGTTTTTCTTTTTTTTTCTTTTCAAAAAGAGAACATTGTTAAGGGATATGGAAAAGCGATAGGTCTGGAACGAGCTGTAAAATGTTACAGTTAAGGGGTAAAGTACATGTCTGTAATTTCTTTAAGTTACAAGACCCATATTCACTTAAGCTGTCACTCTCTATGGCTAATCATTTAATTGTCTTTCTATACGACAAAAACTGCTCATCACATTAACGAGAATGTAGCTATTGCAGTAAGCTGATTGTACTGGGTACACATTGTTGATATCTTTCTTATTCCTAGCGCAGAGATAGAGCCTCGCTCAGCTGAGGAAAGAAAAGACTCGTTAAAGTAATCAGCTTCAAGCCTTAGGCGCCAGGCAGAGGAAGAAAAGATCAACACTTTTTTTTAAAGCATAGTTTTTGTCTTGGCCCACTCTAAATGACGGTCCTATCGATTGGGACATCTATTGCGACGTTATTGAAGGGGAAGTGATGGCATAGTGTTGCACGAACCCCTCTCCACCCCACCCCTTCCCTTTTTTTCCTTTTTTCTTCAGATTTAGCAAAAGAATACGAGAATTGGTTTGTAAGGAGGGTTACTGACACCACTCTGGATTTTAGCCACACAAAGAGAAATGTCTCTTAGCTCATTTTCTAAAAATAAGAATTTTACGATGGTCGCAAGTATATAATATTATTATTATTAAGGTCATATATAAGCGCCCCTATCTCTCAGTTGGAGTGGGTTGATTTTGAAAGTTGAAATCTGCTAACCTTAACACGACAAAGAGAAGGGGACTGCAATACGTTTTCATTCCCTTTTTAAGTAATATGGGATCTTAGATTGTCCATAAATGCTGAATTCTGGAATAATATTTTTGTTGCTTAACGTAAAACAACTCTTTTTAAGTTAGTTGGGGGGGGGTGC